CTACACGACAAAAAGATGTTTCACCGGAAATATTAAAAACGATTACACTACCAATAAATTACAATGTTGATGCATAAACTATATAAAGTTTTTGAACCATTAGCATACACATTTATAACATAAATAAATCAAGTGTGATGGACATTCAGTATTTTTGTTCCCTGTTCTACTCCATGACTCAATCACTTGTAGCAAATGTTTCCTAGGATAGAGAAGCAATTTCACATTTAATTCCACCATTATCACTATAATAATAAATTATCATCAGCCAATACTTGTAGATACAGAATCATCAATTCCAACAGAAATTTTATATCGGAGCATCCCTTGTGAAATTTATTTTAAACAGAATAAATAACCATCACAGCACTACATTCCTTGTCCACGTAAAAATAGAAGATAAAGAAATCTCATAGTGGTTAGCACTATTAAAAAAAATCAAGAATCAGGACTTACATGATCCAATGCTTACAATGCAGTTCCATGTTAAGAATGTCATTATTGTTGTGTGATTAAGAAAGTCTTCTTGGTTAAGTAAAGAATTACCAGAAATATATGAATTTTAAGAACTTTAAGAATGCTTATTATATTCATTAGCTAGCCATACATTTCAGGAGGAAAGCTATTCACAAAGTTACACATTAACAAGAACGTGCTATCACAAATTTTGCAAGATAATAAAATTCATTTATTAGGGTCAAAGAATGGCCTGTGTACCTGGCTAGGAGAAGGCTCAATTTCATTGTTTCCAAGGTTAGTTGCCTTCAATGACATCTTCTGGGAAGAATCACGGTCACCATTTATTAATGGTATTTGAGAGTTTCTACTTGACAAAGGAAAAAAACTAGGTACATTTTTCTTTCCAAATCCCACTTGTGAGCTTCCTATTCCTGATAATTCGACATCTGAAACTGTCCTCAAACTCCTACAAATCCTCTGCATGGTACCTGAGAGGTTGTCTAATAAAAGTTGTTGCTCTGAACTCCCTCTCATATTGGCAGGCAGAAAGAATTCCAATATGTAATCATCATCATTAGTATAAGTACTCCTTAGCCTAATTGCAACTGCAGCATTCAAATTATACTTGCGTGCATGATGGACAAGTGGATATTCACTAATATCATACGTCTTCACATCCGGATAGAAGAAAGGATGGTTTGATTGAAGAGCTTTCCCAGCTACACCTTTTCCTTCCTCAAGATGATGTTCCATGCATGCACGGACAAATCCTGTCATTGCTCTGTCAGTTATATAGCAAGCTGATTCTTCAATGCACAGTATGCCTTTTTCACTGGAAGTTGAATGACCCTCTTTAATTTGTATCCTTGTAGCTTCACCTCTGGAGCCCTCAGTGTAACAGGGAATCCATGTCAGTGCCAGCGGTAATCTATGAGCATGACAGACAGAACGTAACACATCAACTATCTCAGTCAAAGTAGCTTTTTTGTTGTTTGAAAGACACTGCAGAAGAGCAAATAATATTGTAAGTGCAAAACTCCATATAAAACAACATCTCAATCACCCTATCCCCAAATTAATATTTGAAGATAGTTCAGCTCAACTTGCTTTTTTCTTGCCTCACAATTAAGATGGGGAAATATCAATAGGCAAAGTAAAAGTCTACGCAAATATACCTCGGGAAGAAGTCGAAGAGGCTTAGTAGTCCTTAAATTTACAAGCTGCAGAAAGTCATGATAAATACATTTATCATTACTACCTTCAATTGTAATATAATGTGAAAAATTAAAGAAAGGTTACATTTTGTAAGAAATTGAAGAGCAATAAATTGAGGGTAAGGAAAATTCTGAACTTTAGGGCCAAGTCAAGTGATGATGCAACATTAGATGCAGTGAGACAGACAAAAAGTGCAGAAAGGGAAATAACAGAAGAAAAAGCAAAAGATACCTGAAGTGCACGACAAACAATTTCCAATTCTTTGTCAAAATCTGCCTTTTCCTTTGTAGTGACAAGTTCCAGTACAGCACAGCACGGCAGTTCAGAGTGCATATCAAATATGGGAAATGCAATTGATCCACGAACCTTGTGATTAATTGCATGTTCAAACCTTAAGTACTCACTCATACTGTAATAACCAACATCTGAAGTCCACTCAGGAACTTTGGAGGTAAACACACGACCAGGAAGTCCTAGGAAACAACCAGATTTTCCTTCTGCAGAAAATGTAAATGTCCTGGACACTTCACGATACCCTGCGAGCATTTGATCTAGCAAATAAGGTTGCTCACTTGTGCTTAAGATGAATTGATCACCATGCTTTATGGGTACCCAAACTTGAGCCAATATTCCCCCACCAGCTGATTCCTTAAAGAAGGACAAAGCCCTCAGCATTCTCTCATCAAGTGACAAACCAGGTGGCCTGGACATAATATAATTTCCGGTATCAAAGGCATTACTATGTTGAGAAGAGCCATTAGTTTTTAGCTTAGAATTCAAGTTATTTCCATCATTTGAGTTGCTGAAGAAACCAAGTAGGGTATCCATTTGCTGACACCCAACTTTCTCCCCATACATGGGCGAGCTTTCCATATCATTGTTATTTTTGCCAACTCGTGACATATAGCATTGCCCACTGTTCTGTTGGACTAGATTGAATCCATCAGGCAACGGATATGGTAACGAGGCAAATGATGGAAGCTCATTAGCCAAAATCTGATCAGTTATGGATGGGCTATCGCACAAGCCAGCATAAGTATCAAAGTTCATGAGCTCAGAAAAGCTATTGGGCATATCCTCTGATATTGAATTTCTCATTCCACCATCTAACGATGTTGACCCCTCCAACTGTGCTCTAGAAGATTGCCAATCCCCAATGCCTCCTCCCTTGGGGGAAAAAGGGTATTCCATACTTAGGTTGGGTATGGAATTATTGAAATTTAACCAATGTTAAAGTTCCTCTGTGTAGAAATTTGCTCGAGACATTGCATCCATGTTCATAGGCATTCTTGAAGTCTGTAAGTTTGTATGCTCAAATTAACTACCTATATCATCAAACAAATTAACATCAGCAAAAAGAAAACCCAAAAATAAAATTTCCAACATCAATAATTAGCAAACCTACACTATCACAAGAGCAAATTCTTGAAAATTGCTGAGATTTAAGCACTGTACAGGCACAGGCACATGCTAAAGATCAAACAAAAAGTATTTTTTTTAAGAGAAGAGAATTAATAATTTCCACTCCTCGGGCAAAAAACATGCTGCATCAGCAAAACGTTGATCACGTTAAACTTGCTCTAGCCTATATGGGGGTGTTTTCCAGTAAAACAAAATAAAATGCCCAACATAAATCGGCATATTTCGAATTTACTAATTACACCAAGAACTGACGTTGAGCTGATTTACAGTCCTTCAGAAGGCACAAATTAAATATTTATCTAACTAACATCCATCTTATCCATCCTTCTCATTGTCAACCGTCTTCACCACTAGAAAAATCCACCATCAAACTTTAAACCTTGTCTTTGAAACTAGAGGTTCCCAAAGAAAATTCAATCAAAAAGCCAGGTTGAAAAGAGATGAATTGAAAAGACATCTCAAACACATACAGTAAACGAGTCTTGGTTTAAAAACTCAGAGCGACCATTCAACACCAAAAAAAAAAAAACAGACACGCATAGTGTAAAAATCAAGTCATTAAAAAACTAACAAAGTTAACTGAATAACATGGAAATTAGGGTTCCCAAAACCTGAATGTTGGTGGGGAGTAGAGAGAAACGGTGTAAGATACAAGGGGGAGAGAGAATTTGTGAAGCTCATCAAAAATTGGCAAATAGTGAAATAGATTAGTGAGGGGGTTGCAATCCTCGTTTTGGTATGCGAAATGAAATGAACAAAAAGCAAATGAGGAGACAATAAATTTTGCAAAGAAATTGGGGATTGCTAACATGTGAACTATGAAGTGAACCCTATAAGATAGAAATAGCTTAGGTAGGACAAGCAGCGAATGAATCACCGACCTTAAAATCCTCGAGCATGACGAAATCTTTGTCCATAGAATTCAACAAAACAGGAGCAGCTCAGCTCTGAAGTGAACGCAGTGATAGTTTAAAAATAATAAAATTAAAATTAAGAAGAAGAAAAAATCCGAACAGAAATTTGGTGACGGAAGTACCAGAGAAAAGAAGAGAAGAGAAGGGTTGCTAAAAATAGAAAGACGGTTTTGGTAGCCGTTTACACCCTTGTACGGCGTTTTTAACTATGCCATCATATCTTACACCGTTTCGATCGGAGATTTTCATTTTCATTCCTATAAAATATAAATGAGTTAAGGCTTAAATATATATTTAGTGTACTTAAATTTAGGATAAATTTATTTTAATTTTTTAAATTTAAAATTATTATTTTTAGTCTCTATAATTTAAAAAAAAATTAATTTTTATATTCAAATTTTGTTAAAAAATTTATCAAATATTATTATATAAAATTTATCTATTAATATTTCTATCATTAAAAATATCACATTAAATCCGTTTAATATTGTATAACTGTCTTAATTAATCACTTTCAAATATTTTATTGGTGATTTAAGGGGACTAAAACAAAATTTTTAAAAATTACAAAAATTAAATATAAAAATTTTATATTTTAAAAACTAAAAATAAATTTATCTTAAATTTGAGAGACTAAAAATATATTTAAGTAATAAATTAAATATTTTTATTCCAGTGGAACTTTGTCTCAAGGATCTCGCTTTTTTTTTTTTTATCCACGATATTCAGAATCGTTAGTGGGACACTGATTTTTTTTTTCATTAGTATCATCAAACTATATTTTGTGTCCATTTGGAAAGAATTATCTATGTGCATGGATGTATTAACATTTAGGAGATTATTTCGATTTAATTAATTATATAAAATTCGAGTTTTTGCAAATGGGTTCAATATTTAAAATAAAAGTTTGAGTTTAAGATATATGCAACTGTGTTAAATGTTTAAAAATAAAGTTGCACATAGTGAACCTACTTAATTGAACAGAATTGTCTCTTATAAAGAATGTTTATGAAACTTTTTGTTCATTAAAATTCCGTAGCTTTTGCTTATTAAATTTGGAACTATAATATTATTTTGTTAAATTCAATGTCTTGTGGTTTGGATTGATTTGGTTAATTTATTTTTAATAAATTAATGTTTGAAATATCTTTATAGGCATATGAGATGTTAAAAATGGATGTATTACTGTATATACCTATTATAAAAATGATATCATGATATGTAATATTTTAGTTTTTATTTTTTAATAGATTACTATATACTTTAAATGTTTAAAAAATTAATTTTTCATATTTTCTCTGAATATTGATTCATAATCATTTAATATGTTATTTATGTAAGATATATAAAGTGTATCGGTCATATATATATAAAATAATTGCTTGTTATGCGAACTTTTCATTTGTCTTATTCAATCATGTTTAGTTTCATTTTAATATTATTGACTTTTTGGAGAGAGTTTATTGAATATTTTTATTATATTTGTCATATTAAAGGAAAGATTTATTTTCTCACAAACAATAATCAATTATTAAAATTAAATATATATTTTATCTTTAAAATTTAAATATTATTACTCTGCATTCTTTTTTATATTTGTTTTAGTATTTTTTTAATTTCTTATCTCTTTAAATATATTTTTGATATTTAATTCAATATTTTTAAAAGATATTATCAATAATTAAAAATAAATTTTTATCATCTCTCTGAATATATATTTTTCATATTTATTACAAATTTTTTATAAAATTAACTATAATTAAAAAAAATTATATTATAATATAAATTATTTATCATAAATTTAAAATATAGTTTATATTCAATTATGTAAATTATTTATTATAAATTTAGTTATATAAAATAAATAATTTATCCTGTACATTGGAAAGAATAAAAGGGTAATAATAAGTAAATGAAAATTTATTAGCTAAGATAAAAATAAAGTTGCATTTTCTATCAATTGTTCATTTTATTAAATTATATTTTGCTAAGATAAATATTTTTAAGGTTATCATTTCAGTACTATATTATTGTACATATTTATATATTTGTGTTGTTATATTATTTTAGTCATTTGTGCAAATTCTACACATATATGTTATTATACATATATTTAAATATTAATTATATATTAATCATAAGTAGTTAGATATTTATTTTCACCGCAAATAACTGAATTGTAAAATATGATAAATTGGTGGATCATTACATAATTCAAATAAATAAAAAATCTGTTTTTTATTCTCCATTTGTTCAATTGATACTTTATTTTATTTCTTTTTTTTTTAACTGATTTAGCGATTCGCAGTAAAAAAAAAAATAGATTTAACATTTTAAAATAACTTAGTAGCTTTGTTAAAACAATGGATCAAAGCCAATTAGCTTGATATAAAAAGTTTAAATCAAACAAAATTTTACATGTATAGAGAGAGCGAGAGGAAGGGGAAGAGAATAAGAATAACCAAATAGTTTTAGAGTCCATCACATTACAAACTCGTTGTAAATAGATTTGATTAAGGTATTAACAAACAAAAATACTTTTATTGTTCTCAAATTTTTGTTTAAGGTATTAACAACATCATAATATTGTTAATAAAAAAACGTTATCATTAATCATTACTAGTATAATATGGTTATAATTTTTTTACATAAAAAATATTTTTTAGTAATAAAAAATTAATATTATACCATATGTTATAAAAATGAATTATAAAAGGGTAACTATTTAATCCACAAAATTATTTTTTATTTTTTGAAAAATATTAGTTTCATAATGACTTGTGATTAAGGATAGCAAATAAACTCGTACTTGTGAGTAATATTCGAACTTATCTCAACTTTGACAGAGAATACTTGATTTGGCTAAATACGAGTACAGGTAAAACCCAAAATATTAAATCGGGGACAGAGACGAGATGCATGTTTAATACTCGTTCCTCATTTGATTGTTTTAAAAAAAATTAATATTTAATTATGTGTAATTTTATTATGATGTGAAACATTTGTGATTATTTAATTATTAAGAAGTCTTTTGATTAAAATATTAGATAAACAAATAACTCAATTATAATTGTAATATAATGGAAAGATAAACTAAAAATTATTGTGTATTTTTTTGCAAAAAAAAAACTTTGATAGGTACGGGAGTACAAGTACGTATACCCGATACTCGACGAAGATCGGGATGAGATGAAAATTACATACCTAACAGAGATAGTGATGGGTTTGAATCGCGAAGACGGGGATGTGTATCGTAAAACCATACCCAATTTGCCTCGTTGTCATGCCTACTCATAATAAACAAAATGGTTAGCCCATGGTTTTTTTTTTAAATATAATTATTACTCTCTTTTTTGTTTGTTAAAATATTTATAATTTTACTTATTTTATTTTTTAGTTCTTGTAGTTTAAAAATAAATATTTTTAGTCTTTATATTTATCTTTTTCATGTATTTTTAAATCATATAGTTTAAGATAGTTTCTTTACTTTTTATATTTATAATTTTTTAATCTTTTTAGTTTTTTTTTTTAACGTTGATAATTTTATATAGATGTGACAAAAGTAATTAAATTTCGTGTGTTTGATATCAAATTTATTTTGTTAGAACTATTCTAAATTACAATCTTTCATAACCATTTTGTAAATTTGAACCCTTACTCACAATATCGATTATTTAGACACGCTTTTTTATCCTTATAAAATTGAATGTCTTTGCCACATCAACACAAAATATAATGTTAAAAAAATTGACAATAGATACTAAAAGAGTCACAAAACTATAAATATAAACTAAAAAATTTCATGTTAAATTACAGAAACTAAAAAATTGAAGAATATAAGTATAGGGTTTTTAAAAGTTTATTTTAAACAATAAAGACTAAAAGTAAAGTAAGTAGATTTATAAAAATTAAAAAAATATTATAACTTTTTTTAGTAAAATTTTATTTTTATTTACTTGTTAGTTTCAAATTTCAAAACAACATTAATTAATGTATTGTCAATTATATCATTATATTTCACTTGATTTTTAATTGATTTACACATGACAACTAATATGTAATTATTATGAAATAAAAATAAAGAAAAATATAATAAGAAACATTAAAATCACTTTATGCGAAATAGAAACGTTTATCATGTTTTTTATTTGTGTCAAACAACCTTAATTAAAGCAATAATTATTAAAAAGAAAAAACACAAAGTTAGTATTTCTTAACAACATAAATGATATTTTCTATTACACATATACGAGGAAATCTATTTGCTCCAGGATTAAGTTTATTTTAACTTATTATATTTAATAACACATGTTTTACATTAAATTTTAATTATTTAATCGTTAAATTTAAAACTTTTAATATATAAATAAAGTCTATAAATTTTTAAATAATTTAAAAATTATTTAATATTTTATTTTATTAATTCAAGTTAATATGTAAATAAATTTATAATTATCCATCTATTTGAATAAATGAAATTAAATATCAAATAATTTTCAATTTTTTAAAAAATTTATAAATTTAATTAAATTAAATTAAATATAGAACACAAGTTATTAAATGAAATACATTTTAATAAATTTAATTATGGAATAAACAAATCTACCTATATATATATATATAAATTTAAACCGAGAAAAATACATGCATGTACCATAAATTTTCAAATTTTGTTTTCATGAATTCCCGATTTGTGGCGTCTTTAATTTTGTTTTAGCAAAGATGGCATAAGTAGCGTAACGCGTAAAACTTTGACAAAGAGAAGCTTTGAAGTTTGAATGATGGCAGTGGGACTTGGAAATTGGAATATTGGGATTACCTTCCCTTTTTCTTTGGGATTTCATATCATCTTCTTTATTACCATACCAATTTCTACGCCACTCCTAACTAAGTTCTCAAAATTCTGCAAATTACGTATTTCATTTGAGTTGAGAAATTGATCTCTAACTTTATAAAGAAAACTTTATGATAATTTAATACATTTAAATTGTTAAATTTGTAATAATTTATTATAATTTTTATATTTTAAAGTAAGAGAATCTGAATCTAGAGTTCACGATGCCATGGACTATTTTTTTTTTTAGAAAACAAAAACAATACTATATTTTCTTTCAACAAAATCATATAATAAGAAATGGCTCTTTTAATTTTTTATATATTAAAATAATGAAACTATTCCGGTTAGATGTACACGTCTTGATTTGAAAAACTCAACTT